CATCTGCAGAGCCCTTTAGTGTGGAGATACTGGTGCAGACAGCAGAGCCAGTTTAGTCCCGTGTGATCAAAGCCTGCAGCTAGCTAGTCATTTGGCGATACGGCAAGCCGGCTGGAAGAAAGAAAGAAAGAAAAAAAAAAAAAACAGCTAGTTTTTAAAGTGTTTGACAGCCTGTTTCTAGAAGACTATAAACATACCGCCCAGGCAGCAGGAGTTACTTCAGCGCTGACACATGCCCACACACGTACACGCTCGTGGAGCACAGGTGGCTTGTGGAGGTGAGCTGTGAGTTTTCAGAGGCGTGGCGCTGTCTGTGTTGGGCGCCTGAAATGATTTCTGACTAATAACTATGCAGAGGGCTGTTCAGAAACAGCAGCCGCAATTAGAAGCTGGGATCAAGAGGAGGGGCAGGGCACTGGGGGTAATAAGGACTTGTTAGCCGTAATTGTTAAAATGTACCAACGATTAGAGGGGCCGTTCTGGGATGTGTCTGCACGCATTTGGATATGTCTGATTACAACGGGAGGAGGGGGGGTGTAGCTGAGTGGCTGACTCTGAGCCTATAGCTTTGTCAAGTTAGAATCTTCACAGACTTCTACCATGTCCACATATGTTCATGACAGGAAAGGTGCCCACTCTGAAGGACCAGTTGTTTCCTCCCCCCACACTACACTGGTGAATGAGATTAAATGTCACAATGACAACAGTCCAGATGGCCAGACGCGTATTCTTGCTTCCATCAGCCCACCTGGTTTTGTTTTCCACTCCTTGACCTTTTCACCACACTCTCTCCCTCTAAGATACAAGCACCTCCTCCATACCTGCAACCATAATTAGATGTTTCAGTGAAGCAGTTTTTAACGTTGCAATTTGCTCAATCAAGCCCATTTGAGCTGTCAGGCATGACCGAACCTGCTGCTTCTCGAGTCAAGCATCATAGACTAACCTGCAGCTCGAGGTGCAGACTGCAGCCGCATCAACTGCCTGTGTTTACTTTGCTCCTCTCCTCCTCCGGGCTCCCCTTACCTAACCACATGACAGACGCACACCATCTGCTCCCGCACTCTGCAATGGGGATGGAGAGGCTGTGCGAAGATAGGATCTATCGCCCTCTTTCTCTCCCCGCAGCCGTCGTGTCGGAGAGATCCTGTCAGATAGGCGCATCTTGCTGTTGCTGATGCTGCAAGGAGGCGGCTGAGGAGAAACGCCACCCGAAAAGCTACGAGTGGAATCAGAGCTCGGAGGACAGCTTGGATAATGAGGCTGTTTAGTGTAGCAATCAGCCCACAAAAAAAACCTTCCTGCCGTCGGAAAACGGAGGCCGCCAACACTCGTCGCCGCCCACAACTGATCAATGCTAATGATGCACCTGAATGGAGGATGGTGACACGGCCATTGATGAGACAGGGAGGGAGATAAAGGGAAGGAGAGGGGAGCAGATCGATGAGCAGGTCAGGAGGCTAGATCCCCTGAGGCGAGGAAGATGGTAGCACTACATCTGCTCTTCTTTGCCCTCCCGCCCCCCACCACAATCCCACCCCCGCCCAAGTCCGCCACTGTCCTGTGAGAGTTCAGATGGTCTTTTTATCACTCCGCCGGCTACTGCTACATGGACTCCCCGGCTGTTAATTAGAGCGCACCACTGCACTGGGTTTGGGGCATGAGCATATGTGTGTATGTGTGTGTGTGTGTGTGTGCCTGTAGGGGGTCTGGCACTGTATTCCAGACAGGTCTTTATTAATGCTGCAAAAGATGACAGTGTGGGTGGACCTCAGACTGAATAATTACACAGAAGTTGGAGAAACAAGCACAAACAGGCTCATTTAAAAGATATAATGTTGTGCTGTGAAAAATTAGTTTACAACAAAAACAGGAGATTTAAAAGATGAAATGAAGAAATAAAAATATTTTTTTTTATTTTGTGACAGCACACTGTCAGTGTGTACAAATGTCATTGTATTTAGATGCAATGATAATAAAGGTCTATTCTATTCTAAAAAAAAAAAAAACAATACAACAGTTTGAAAACCTTGAACTAACATCACTAAATCCATCAAATGCAAAATAAAAAAATACTAAAAATTTAAAGATGAGTACAAGGTTTGAAAATGCCATCACTCCTGTTGTTAGGGTGAAGCAGCTTTTAAAAAGCTGTTGTTTTCCTTTTAGCTGCTCCTTTCTGCAGAAGTCGGCACTGTCAAACGAACATGAAAGATGAATGATCTGGTAACTGTTTATACCGGATGCCACTCCTGACGCAACCTGAGCTCAAACCTGCAGCCTCAGGATTACAAGACCCGGGCGCTGACAACCGAGCTGCTGCAGACACAAGCGCTTTTTAAAGTTATTAAAAAATATTTCAGAAGGTTTTCAAACTATCTCAAAACTTACAGATGATAAATAATATTTACTAAAAATAGCGTCCAAATCTACCCATCCTAATTTCAAAGATGTAGTAGATTAAATCAGAAACATGAGGGTGGTTGCTACTAAATAAGGTGGATTTGATGTGGACAAAGATGGGCAACGAACAGTATTCACAACCTAAACTAGAGAAATTGCATTTCCTCCAAAAATGCAGTGTGAATGCTTATTGCTGAAGGATTTGCAGAAAACTAGCTGAAATTAGGTTAAAAAAAAGCTGAAATTAGCAAACAAAAGCTGAAAAGTAGCTGAAAAGGCAGAAATAAGTTTAAACTACCCAGAAAAAGCTGAAAGGAGCAGAAAAAAATTACTTGGGCTGAAAGTAGCAGAAATTACCACAAACATTTTGAATTTATCTGAAAGCAGCTGAAATGAGCTAAAAATGCTTAAAAGCTATCTTAAAAGTTAGAAAAACTTAACGTAACAGAAGAAAGCAGAAAGAACACGTTTTCCCAGTTATGCTGCAAGAAGCAGAAATGAGCACAAAAAGTGGAAATTACCAGTATCTGGAAAAAATCCAACATTTGATCAAACAAAACAACTGAATAATAGCTAAAAAACAGAAAGAATCTTAAATTACCAAAAGGAAGTGGAGACAGCACATTTTTGCTGAATCAGGTTAAAAATGATTTAAATGAGTGCAAAATATGTGGAATTAGCTGAAGCTGAAATAGCAGAAAAAGCTGAAACTTGCAAAAATTAGCTGAAAGGAACAAAACAAGTTGAAATTAACAGAAAAAAATCAGAAGAAGCACAACAATTTGGTAGGTATCAGACAGAATCTGAAAGGAGCACAAAACAGCTGAAAGTAGCAGCAAGTAACTGAAAAATGTTTAAATTTGCTCAAGTAAGTTGAAAGAAGCTGAATCAGAACAAAACGTGAAAGGAGCAGTAAAAGGTTGTAAACAGTTCTAAAGCTTTGAAGGATATAAAAATGAGCTCAATTAATTTTCTGAGACAAAAATGGTAGAAAAGACTAAATATTTCAAAAAGCTAAAGTTGCACCAATACCAAAAGTCATAGCAGGATTGTCCTGAAAGAGCTGAACGTTTTGAAATATGATTTGATAGCACCAAAATTGTGGAACAATAAAGATGCCGAAAAATGTACAGAAGAAATAAAGAACCTGGAATAATAAATATTAACAGGATCACAATAGTGTGAATGCTTATTAAGCATTCACATTTAGTTTTTTTTTTTTTTTTTTTTTGTCTTTTCTGGTTGCTTGGTTGCAAACACTGAGAATCCAGTAAAACTGCAACAAAACATTACTAATTTTATCTTAGTTTTCATCCACCAACTAATCTCCAACAGATTCAACCCTGTGAGATTCTACCAGTCCGTCAATTTAGTCTCTATTACCAGCAGCCGATCAAAAAGAACAATTTGTTCCTATTTTCTTGCTCAAATGTCTGAAAAAGACAAACAATATCATCAGTCTGACACATGACTAAAAAACAAAAACAGTTGAAATGTAGTTATCAACTAAACTATCATACATCTGTCTGGTCTTTGCTGGATGTTTCTTAAAAACATAACATTCAGGTTCACTTTGCTTCTTCTTTGTCTTCCTTTTCCAGTTTTCTTTAAGCACACATCCTGATCAATGTGCTGTCGTGATTAGGTCACCGAATAGGTCACATAACTAGATTTACTATAGGTACATAAAAACAGCAAAAGTCCAAAGAAAAACCCTGAAAAACCAGATAAATTTTATTGTTTTGTTAATGTTTATTTAACCAGGCAAATTAGCATTACAGATCTTCTTTGCAAGGGAGGCCTGGACCTGAAAGCAACCTAACATACACATGTTTGTACTGCGGGTGGAAACCAGAGTAGCCTACTCGGAGAAAACCCACGCAAACACGAGAATGGTAAATAGACTGTACTTATATAGCACCTTTTTATCTTATCAAGACACTCAAAGTGCTTTACACTACAATCTGTGTCCTCATTTACCCATTCATACAGCACTCTACTAGATCTCTACAAAGCTAACTGAACAAATCATTCTAAAGAGACTCTTCAGAGCTTTATCACATTCATACACCCATGGGACACACATCGGAGGCAATGAGGGGTTCAGTGCCTTGCCCAGGGACACTTTGACATGTGACTGCTGTTGGATTCGAACCCCCAACTCTTGCATTGGAGGACTACTGCTCTAACCACTCAGCCACAGCCGCCCCACAGAACTCCACACAGAAAGGCTCCAGGTCCAAATGGGCATTGAACCCAGGACCTTCTAACTATGAAGCAACAATGCTAACCACTAATCTATTGTGCTGCTGAATTAGTGATCAAAGCCTGACTCATTAGAATCGCTGTAAAAATATGGGGAGGTATAAAACTTTTTTGGACATTGTTGTGTAAATCATACAGCAAGTACTTCTGTACTTTATACTGTACTGTACCAGGATGATTTATATTCTATCTATAAGCTATTAACCAATCCTGGAGTCACCATTAGCATGCTAACATGCTAACGGGTTATAAATCATGGTTTATTTAAACTATAAATTGAATCCTGTCTATTTTTTTGTTTAACATACAGTCTTTGTTTCTGTTTCTTCCAGAGGACCTGTTGCCTTTTGGCTTCCCCAGTATAGACATGGGCCCCCAGCTGAAGGTGGTGGAACGGACAAAGACGGCCACCATGCTCTGCGCTGCCAGCGGCATCCCTGACCCGGAGATCTCCTGGTTCAAAGACTTCCTGCCAGTCGACCCCAGCCTCAGCCAGGGTCGCATCAAACAGCTTCGATCAGGTGAGACATATCGGTGTTAGTCCGGTTATTTCATTTGCAAATGAGTAAACAAACGCTGCCTCTAAAGCTTAGCTCCTCAGTAAAGCAAATCCCTGTCGCTCTAAATTTGGTGATTATCAGGTTTTAATTATGATTGAGGGATTACATGCTGCTCTCTGTGTTTATCTATATCCTTTGGGGGTGTAAAACCTTTTTAAAGCCAATTTCATTAAAGGGATAATTGTGCCATCCTTAAGCCAGTAAGAAAATAAATAAAACTCAACATTTGGTAGGAAAGATTAAGAAAAAAATGTCACGTAAAATGCTAATTTATCTCTTTATTATTAATTGCTTACGTCAAAGAGAGACCATTGGAATGCAGTAAAAATATTGTTGAAGTTTTGTGTCACACACTTAAAAGTTGGTTAAAACAAATATAATTCATAATATAATTAATGCACCTTAAATCGTCAGGTGTGAAAAGACCTGGTAGTAAATGCTGCTATGCGTTTGTTTGCAACAGGTGTTTTATCGTTTCATCGCCTGGCTTCAAACTGTAAAAGCGAGCTTGGCGTCTTAAGTTTAGAGGCTGGGATTAGTTTTCCAGCAGCAGTCAGAAATGGAGTGGGGAAGCTTTGTGCTGCCAGACAGAAGGGAAAACCCAGAGCTTGTGTCGACGTATCAAAGAATAAATACGGAGAAATCACATCTTGTGCTTGGAACAGTTTATTCAGCTTTGTTTATGCTCCTTTTGTATCGATGACACAGTGTCTCTCGGAGTAAGCCGACATGTTTTTCACAGCCATTTTCACTCAGCCGTCCTCAGGGGCGAATGAAAGCGATGGTGAGGCGAAACCATTTCGCTGTAGCTTCATCCATATTTTCTGCGCCCCCACTCACCCACTGCATCCTGCCAACTCTCATATCTTCTCGCCGTCCACAATATCTTTCACTGATCGCTTGTAGTCAGCTGTACATCTGTATCACTGTTTGTGGAGCCTGCAGCTATGTTGGAATGAATTCAAACACTTTATGGTTGACAGGAAGTTAGCATTCTCTGCAGCTGATGATCTGTTAGCCGCTCTACATGTGCCTTTGCGACACATATTAAATGGTTTTCACAAGTGTGTCAACGTAATGTTTGATTCTGGTCTATATTGAAAGCTAGTATGTTTTTTTTTTCTCCTTCGTTGTCGGAATTGTTTGATTTCTAAAGATCAGCATCAATCATAGAAAACTTTAAACTGTATCGTAAACTATATCAAGTCTCAGAATGTTCTCCTATGGTTCTGTTTTCCTGTGTGAGTCCAGAGCCTTGTTTGATATTTGAGCATGTTCAAAAAATTTGGGACAAATTTTAGCTTAAAAATGGCCGAGAGTCATTGTAGGTGTCTCAAACGCATCTCAGATGTTTTTTCTTACCCCTGCATGGAAGCTCTCTTAAAAAAAATAAAAAATAAAATAAAAAATGCACCAATGATACAAACTTAACTAAAAAGTTCCTGGAGAAACTTTGACGGGGCTGCCACACTGCTGCCAATTTAAATTTTTGATTTAACAGTATTATGTGTTGGGGTTTGCTCTCAGCTACCACCATACCAACCTTCAGCTCAATGCAGCAAAAAAAAAAAAAAAAAAAGAGTTATAATCCTTTTTTAAGTTATGGTGGTGGCCATCTTGGATTTTTTTATTTGGATTCAGTATGTGATGGGGAACAATCTTAGCTATAACCTCACCTAGTTTCTGCTGTGAAAGTCTTTTTTAACAAAAAAAAAAAAAAATAGCTGAGTTAAAGCCATTTGAATGTAGCTCTGTTGGCCATCTTGAATTTCTTTTCCCCACTATTTATGGAACATTCTCAGCTACCACACCAAATTTCAGCTTACATCTCTAAAAATGGCTGATTTATAGTAAGTTTCCTTTTTAGCTCAAGCGGCCATCTTGGATTTTTGATTTGCATAAGGACTGTATAACAACTCGCTCTCAGCTACGACCATACCCAATTTCAGCGCAGTATCCCAAAGATTGACTGTTATAATAGAAGCTGTTGAGTTCCATCAGGCGTTTTGTATGAGAAAAATGGCATCTTTGTTTGCAAATTACGTCGCCATGGTAACTCGAAATGCCAATAAACGTTATAGCACACATCATGTTGCTGAGCCAGTTATTTTGATATAATATTTGGGGTATACGTTGCAGGTTGGGCTGCAAAAAAAGTTGATTGACTATCAAGACCCTTTTCATGTGGATAATAATAGATGCTGCCTTTCTAAGCAGTCCCCAATTTTAAAAATTGTCCAAATCTGCTTATATTCAGTTCAAACGTGTACTCCAGTAGATTTACTCCTAAATGCAGGGGCAGCTTCTAAACATAAAATGAGCCTAGGTGGGTATGATGTGGATAGGGATGCACATTAAAATGAGAATACACTTTTGCAAAATCATACACAAAAAATCCATGACTTTCAAAATATGGCTGTGCAAAACACAGCCGCACGTCTCGTTGGTCACTTTGTTGCAAACATTCGTAATTCAGTGAGATCGTGATAGAAAAGTATCATTTTTAAATTATCTTGAGTTGCCAACTAGTCTCCAGCAGTTGAAGCCCAATGAGATGCAATCTTTAGGTAAAACACAGGAGCTCCTACGGTCTCAGGTCAGGGGTTAGTTAAAAGATGCAGGCTATATTTTGAAATCATCTTATTACCATTGTCTGCAAGAAAACTAAAGTCATAAGAAAGAAAAGAAAACTGAACTGCAATCTGTGGGGACATACCTGTGAGTTACCCCCATCTTTGAGTTTTTGTTTTCATTGTTGAAGGCGTTCATTGTACAGTAGTCCCTCGTTTATAGACGGGTTTCTGTTCCGGACTCCCCCGCAATAAGTGAAAATCTGCAAATTAGAGACGTTATATTTATTGTAGT